GATCAGTACCAACTCCCATTGTCGAACGAAGGTGAGAGGGGGGGGGGGGCGCAAAACACCGCCGAACATAGAAACGAACATTAGGGCGCAGGCATTTGGACGCGGACATTAGGACGCAGAGATTGGGACGCAGACACTGATGGGGCGCGACACAGATCCTAGGCTAGGACTAGACGTTGTAGCGCATACACAGATGAAATAAGTAAAATAACATTGGTTTACTTGTTATACCTTTTATTGTCCTACCCGCAATCTAATTTCTGCTTTGTATGGTGATCTACATGATGCTTGCGGCCTAATGTCCGCGTCCCGCTGTCCGCGTCTCAATGTCTGCGTCCTAATGTCCACGGCCTATCGTTTGCGGTCTATTCCCTTTGCGGTCTACTGTCTTGCGGTCCAATGTCCGCGTCCTAATGTCTTGCAGTCCAATGCCATACCGCCGGGATTTCGTTTCAAAGGCAAAAATTTGTTTGGTAAATTTTAGAGCAAACCGTCTTTTTCATAATTTTTACGTTTTGCGTTTTTATTCAGTACTTGCCTTACATGATATGTAGCAAAATATGTTGTTAATAGTTTTCATCATTTGAAATCACTTAATGGAACTTTCTCGGAGCACGGAGTGTACCGCGTCGTTCTAAAGGCTTTCTATTGGCCAATTTGAATTATTTTGAATATATAATTCTCAACTATTACAATTAGCAAAATAATTAATTCTACTGCTGTTTTAATTAATTTTATATACATTCGTCTTCGTCCTATAAAAGGAATAATTCTTATCACCCAACAATGCTGTTTGTATGTTACGACACTGGCAGGCATGTCTTGGTGACAAATGGTCACAGTTTTATTGAAAGTATTACCTGTCCTCTCTCTTTTCTAGTCTAAGGCTATAGACATATTCAGGCTGCACTACAGGACTTGATTAAGAAAGCAGACTCGTCCGCCATTTTGGAGCCCACTGACAGTCTGTCAGATATTACGCTGTGTTGCTTGATCGTTATGTTGTGTTATGTTGCCAAGGTAACTTACTGTCATGAGAAGTACGTGTTTTGCAAGCGTCAATTGTCAGTGGGCTCCAAAATGGCGGACGAGCCAGTTGTGGTATATATAGGTAGTAGCTATAGACTACACAGTTACGTCACCGTCCGCCCCGTCAAAATTTGTAAACGAGAATATTTTACGTTTCGTTGACGGTGCGGTAACGGAACGGTGACGGTACGTATAGATGAATCGCGCTGCATGCCAATGTGAAAAGAGCTACGTCAAAAATGAAGTTTGTTCCCAACAGGAAACTGTATTTTAAGAAAGCGGTTTGGGTTCTAACATTGAATTCTAAAGCACTAACGAAGCACTAACGATTTATAAAATTTGATGCAAATTGGAGTCATTGTCCGGGAAAACGTGAAGTTGGCTCGAATCAATAAAAAATTTATTCTGAGAAAACTGTTCGGGTCCTAACGTTAAATTATGAAGCACCAACAAGCACTGACCAAGCACTAACGATTTACAAAATTTGATGCAAATTGGAGTCATTGTCCGGGCAAACGTGAAGTTAGCCCGAACAAATAAAAAAGGTATTCTGAGAAAACGGTTTGAGCCCTAACGTTGAATTATGAAGCACTAATAAGCACTAACAAACCACTAACGATCTACAAAATTTGATGCAAATTGGAGTCATTGTCCGGGCAAACGTGAAGTTGACCCGAACAAAAAAAATTTTTATTTTGAGAAAACGGTTTGAGCCCTTATGTTAACTTGTGAGGCACTAACGAGCACTAACAAAGCACTAACGATCTAGCATGGTGCGATGCTGCCGGGCTATTTTATCCAGGCCAACTTCACAGACATGAAACTTTTTTACATTCACCAAAAAATGAGCCTTTCAAATGGCGCTAAAGTAAATTGTGTTTTTCACGAAATTTTATTTTTACTTTTTAATGCATTATATTATATAAATGGTGAGTACGCTAACGGTGGTAGCTGGTACCCATTCAAATATGAACGACCCCTATAACTTGAACTTAATTTTTTTACATCTATCGCCAACCACCACCAAAGAGGTGTAAATTTGTACGAAACGATTCTCTAATCCACCACCAAAGCCGCGTAAAGTTGTACCAAAACGCTTCTCTAATCTCTACATATCCCAGTGAGTAGCGAAACACATTTACCTACCCAAATCGATCAAATCAATGAAGGTGGGTGGAAATTTACTGCACGTCAAATCAAAATTTTCTAACATTCGGTACAAAAAATACATGTCAGACACACTGACACACTGCAAAACGAAAAATATTACGATTGATGATGGTAAGTAAACGATTTTCCACAGAAACATGAGTAAATTTACACTCAATACCAGGAGTCTTCGGATATACCTACGCTAAAACTAAATTGAAATTGCCAAGAAGGCGTTGGAACTTTTCAAAAGCTGTTAATTGCTTACAATTTCAAAAGAGATTAACAATTTTTGTTTAATAAGGCCATGTCCCTTCCCTATTCGTTTCACACTTATTCCTCGTGGTATCAATTCCGGTGTCAAGTTGAATTCCATCTTGATGTATTGTGCTCCAACCTGCAATTCATGTCAGCTGTTCCAGTGTCAAGGGATATTCGCCAAAGGCCAAAGTAAATATGGTTGGCCACGGCAATGGCAAATTACATCTCACAAAGAGGGTAATTATACAGTCTGTTAAATTAGAAAAAAAGTTGCGTATTTGGGGTTTAGTAAAAAAAAAACGAAATGAACCATATTCGTTTTTATTATTTTCTACCCCTGCTTGGGAAGATATCAAAAAACAAATCACACTTCCTTATTAAGCTCTACAAAATGGTGCCCGCAGATTTTCATAGCGTCGTTTAGTCTTTGAGAAACCATCATCACCATCAACTTCATATTTTTATTTTGTGGACCGGAAAAAGTTCACTGTATTGAGTAGCATATTTTATTATCCAATGATGTATCATGTATGATCATTTATTAGGTAGGTGATTTAAGGAAACCATCAATGAATTATTTTGACATTTAGTCAACACCTACTACACCAAAATGTTAAAAATTTAATAACAAGTCGTTTTTCTGACTTAAATAATAAACAATTTTTAACATTTTGGTGTAGTAGGCGTTGTTAAAATACATCATTGACGGTTCCTTTAAATGACATAATCAACAATCATATTGTGCCGTACATCGTTGCGTATTCGTAAGAAACAATGCTACTCCAGACAGTACGTACTTTTTTCCGGTCTAAATGAAAATATGAAGTTAATGATGGTTTCTCTACGACGAAACGTCGCAGTGCAAACTTGTGGCCACCATCTTGTAGAGCCTATGATAAAGTGTGATTTGTTCTTTAATATCATTTCAAACAGGATCAGAAAAAAATATAAACGAATAGTTGATTTCGGGTTTTTTCGAACATCTTCGGAACTTATTGGAGTTTCAAAATTTCATAATTTTACTAAGCCCTAAAATACGCAACTTTTTTTGTAAGTTAACCGACTGTGTAACTCTTACGGTATCGGAATTCCCCATGTTCATTCTTATCTTGGACACACTGTATACACCTCGGTATACACGTACCTAATACTGACTTTATTATTACAATTTTTTACACAAAAGTTTTGTTGCAACAGAAAAAAATGCTTTAGATCGAGTTTTTTCAAGATCGAGTACATTTTAGGGCGATTAATACAAGACAATAAATTTCACAAACACTTTATATATTACGCATTCCTCAACGCAATATTATCGCTAATGATAAAAAGCTACCTAGCTTGTAATCGCCGATAAAAAGCTACGTATCCTTTAATCACTTAACGAATCATGTGATTGATTAGAATTTGAAACAATCACCGCACTAATTAGTCAAATATTAATGAAGCGTATTAATCAATCTAAATAGATTTTTAATCAATGTACCTTTGAGCACATAAAAGTCTCAGACAAGTTTGGTAAAAAATTCCATCGTCTTGCAATTTCCATGTCACGTAGACGTCAATAAAGTTGGCACCCCCGAATTTTAAATTAATGCGAGTATAATTTAGAACTATTAAAGGCTCACAAAAAGAAAATTTAAGATCCCTAAAGTTAGCAAAGAACATTGCAGTAACGGGACGTCCACCAGTATGCGTAAAACGAAACGAAAGACGAGACGAAGAATCGCATACGATTTTCAGTAGGGGAATTTTTGGACTCGCATTCGGAAACACGACTTTTAATCCGGCTCATATTAAAAAAAAACTAGTGCGACTACTTATCGATATACTTATCGAGATCCGATTTGAGCTATATTGTCTACGATTACTTTTGTGTGCCTCCGAGAATTCATTTGTATTAGTTTAACTACGTTTCATATCCTTTATTATTAATTGGTTTACCGATATAAGCTACCGTTGTTTTGTAAATAAGTTTTTCAAG